AGGCTCTCGGTGAGTGTCTGTGGTGGGTTGGGGGCCCAGGCGGGTGAATGCAGTCTGATGCAGGGCAGTGTAAGGTGAGAACTGCACCCCCAGGACTGCTTGTCCAAACACCCTGGTGAACGAAGGTCAGAAGTAACGGCTGGGGGATGGAAGATGAATAAGTGGCAGGCTCTGTGCTAGACCCCGATACCCTTTATGCCATTTAAGTAACACCACCACGAGGTAGAAATCAGTGTTTGCCACCGCACAGAAGAGGAAATCCATTCGGACAGGTGTAGTAACTTTCCTCGCACTTAAGAACTTGCTAAAATTAGAACCCAGGTTAGTCGCATTTCCCACCACCCTTCGGTTCGCCGAGATCAGCACTCCACTCTGCTCCCGCCGGGCTTCGTTAACACACAAAAGCAGGTAATTCCCGGCGGCACCCGCCCAGCACCTGCGCGCTCCCGGCTGGCACCACACCAGCGCCCCCCGCAGGAGGCAAGTCCACGCTCACCCGGAGGCCACCAGGGTCCCAGCATAAACGGGGACCCCAGAGCCCACCCGCCTTTGCACGCCACCCTGAGGACCCAAAAACCCAGCCCCGCGTCTCACCCCAGGCGTCCGGCAGCGCGAGCAGCACCAGAACCGCCAGGAGGGCTCCTCGCGAGCCAGAGAGAGGGGGCCCCGGAGGTCCGAGAGACTGCAAGCAGCTCCGAAAAGACGCTGCCATCCTCCGCAGGACCTCGAGTAAGTAGGTGCGACCTCGAAGGCAAGCGCAGGGAGCGAGGCGAAGAGGTGAGAGACAACGCACTCTGCTCCCAGAGTCTAGGGAGCGCAGCGGAGAGGCCGGGACGGAAGCCCTTGACCGCGGCTTCCCCTTAATGGGCGAGGTCTTGTTTACTCCTAATTTGCATTGTTTCCAGCGAATCTGGCTCTCACCGACCACCTTAGGGACCCATCTACAGGAGCAAAACTTAGCGAAGCTTCAGCTCCTTGATGCAGTCCGCGCCGAGGATGGGTGGCCCCGGCTCAAGGCGGTGGATTCTCCCAGCTCGGCTTTCACACGCCCCTGCGTGGCTTTTCCCCTTTGCAAGAATCCGCGTGGGTAGGTCAGCGAACGAAATGCCTGCTCTCTGTGTTAGAGCCACAATTTTGGACAAATATGTGCAGTGTACGGGAAATATGAAGAACCAGTTCCTTTATGTTGAATTGAGATACACCAAGCCATTGAAAAACAATTTTTAAACAGTGACTTAATCAGATTTGCATTTTTAAAATACATTTGTCTATACTGCGGAGAGACTGGATTGGAATAAGGCAACAGGGAATGGGGCTGACCAGCAAGGAGGTTTTGCCATCATCCAGGTGAGATATGACGGTGGCCGGAGATTAAGTGGGCAATTAAGACATCAGAGACAGAATCCACAAAACTTATTCATGCGTTGGATTTTGGTTACTCCCTTTCTTAAAGTGAGTGGTGAGGAAAAGAAAGGAAGCAGCAGTGAGCCTCAGCATTCAAAATGAATGATGGTGTGATTTATTGATATAAAATGTGGGGGACAAATTTGGAGCAGGGGGTTAAGCATTCAAAGACCAGAGAAATCAGAGTGTGTGGTAGGTTGAATAATGGCCCCCGAACACGTCCAGATCCTAATTCCCAGCCCAGTGACTGCATCATCTTCCGTGGCAAGAGGGGTTTTGCAGTTGTGATTGAATTAGGATTTTTTTAAAAAGATTTTATTTATTTATTTGACAGAGATCACAGGTAGGCAGAGAAGCAGGCAGAGAGAGAGAGGAGGAAGCAGGCTCCCTGCTGAGCAGAGAGCCTGATGTGGGGCTCGATCCCATGGGGGCCTCGATCCCAGGACCCTGGGATCATGACCTGAGCCGAAGGCAGAGGCTTTAACCCACTGAGCCACCCAGGCGCCCCTAGGATTTTGAAATGGGAGATGATCCTGGATTATCCCGGTAGGCAGTGTAATCACGGGGGGGGCCTTATGGAGGAGGCACTAGATCAGAGCAGGAGAAGGTCATAACTGAAGGAGAGATTGGGGACTCGCTGCCATGAGCCAAGGAATGATATCCACTTCTACAAGCTAGAAGAGGCAAGGGACAGATTCTCCCCTGGAGCTTTCAGAATGAACCAGATCTGCCAATACCTGTTTTAGCCCTGTGAGATTCATTTTGGACTTGTGACCTCCAGGCTTATAAAAGAATAAACCTGAATAATATTCCATTGTATAAATATACCACATCTTCTTTATCCATTCATCTGTTGAAGGGCTAACTGAACATAATAATAATAATAATAATAATAATAATAAAAAGAATAAATCTGCGTCATTTTTGGCTACAAGGTAACTTGCTACAATAGGAAACATATGAAAGAGAGAAGGTAACCTGACCAAGGGAGAGTGTCAAAGGCTCTTTTTTTTTTTTTTTTCTTTTTTAACTGAGAAAGACTTGGTCTTGAAACAGATGGAATTCTAGTGGGAGCTAGGGAGGCATAGGAACATTCTAGGAAAAGATTGGGAATATAGTTTGTGGATTATGAAACTGGACTTCCAGAAAAGCCAAAAAATAGGCCCTTTGGAAATGGGTGGAAGAGAGTCAAAATCTCAGGAACTGATGGTACTATTAAGTGAGAACATGTAGAATAGATGATTGGAAGATCAGGACAGAAGCATTTGGATGTGGTTCATGGTTTTTAATATTTTTGTGTATGGTGGACCCTTCTGCTTCTTTGGTCAAGCTTATGGACCCCTTCTCAGAATTAATTTGTCAGTGTGTAAAATAGAGTACCTAGGATTACAAAAGAAACGGGTTATACTGAAGTCTAGTTCTAGCCATGAACCTTTGGAGGTCTGCAGCCTCTAAGATAAGGACCCCAGATTTAAAAGTTAGATAAAACAAGAGTCAGTTGTTTGTAAAGTAAGAGTTGGAATGAGTTGTGTGGAGAGTGGAGTAATTGCAAATGTCACGTGCTGTAGAGAGCGGAGGAAGGGAAGGAGTGGGAAGGTATAATAGCAGATATTTTGGTAAACATGTTCGCCCTTTTCCCTTCTCTGCATAGCTATGCTTCATGGTAGGGAAGAGATGCTCAAGGTAGAGAACTACTTTCCCCCTTCTCAGTGTGGCTTCCCTAAAGGAGACCCCCATACACACAGTCCAGCAAATGTATACCACTGAGTGTGAATAGCCCCCGCTCACACATTCTAGAATATGGTTGACTGCATTTCTCCCTTGTACTCAAGTCTCCGCTCCTATCCTCACCAGTTGAATAAGGGGAATGCCCTAAAAGCTAGGTATGTTTCTCATTTTCCAGCAGTTTCCGTGAGGCTCTCTCCCAACACTCTATTGCAAGAAATATTTATTTTGATCCTTGTCACATCTCCTTTTTAATTTATCCAATACCAAGCTCTCAAGAATCTGATACCATCCTTTTAAATTCGTCTCCACAGAGCAGTGGAAGGAGATGCCAGAGCATAGTAGGCTGAGCAAAAGGGAACAGAAGATCTAACTCCCCAGCCTCACAGCAGCTATCAGAACACACACTATCAACTTTTTGCACCGATATCCCGACATTTGCTTTCTCCCCTCATTCCTTGAAGGTCTAGTTCCCACCTCACAACAACCTTCTCTGCTCTTACCCCTGTCACAGTCCCTAGACTCACATTAAGGAAGTTATACAGGCTGGAGATGGGTATTTGGGTGAGTGACAGTGGGCGAGAGAGTGGAGGTTGAGTGAAGTTACCCAATGATGTTTTCATCATCTGCTAAGAGAAGGAAGGAGAATGGAGATGAAGGTAAGATGGAGTAGATGGCTTGAGGTGAACAAACAGATTAGAGGAATGAAAACAGTACTGATTATGAATGAATAAAAGATACTGAACAGCATCCCAATTCTGGGTATGTATCCAAAAGGATTGAAAGCAATGTCATGAAGAGCTATTTGCACAACACTCTTCATAGCAGTATTACGCACAAGAGCCGGAAAGTGCAAACAGCCCACATATCCATTGGTAGATGAGTGAACTGAATGTGGTCTATACATGCAGTGGAGTATTATCCAGCCTGGAAAAAAAAATTCTTCCACAGGCTTCAGCATGGAGAAACCTTGAGGACATTATGCTAAGTGGTATAAACCAGTCACAGAAGGACACTGTATGATTCCACATATACGAGCTATTTAAAGTAGTCAGGTTCATAGAGACAGGAAGTAGAATGGTGGCTGCTGGTTGAGAGCTGGAGGGAATGGGGAACGTAGAGTTAGTGTTTAATGGATATAGCATTTTAACTTTGTAAGATGAAAAAGCTCTGGAACTCTGTTGGACAACAATGTGAATATACCTAACGCTTCTGAACTGCACACTTAAAAAATAGTTAAGATGGTAAGTTTTATGTTCTGTACATATTTAAAAAACTCAAGATGCCAAACAGAATAGTCTAGGAGAAGATGGTGAGAGAAATTTGTGGTAGCCAGTGAGCAAGATTTTATTTTCTCAATAGTATAAATGGTAGACCAAGGAAAATTGGCGTTCAGATTTTGACGGTGGTGGGGAAGGGCTGGGGAAGGGTGTTGGGTGGACAGATAGAAAAGAAAAACTTGATGATGAGGGAACGGAGTTTGTGGGTTGAGAACTGGCTAAAACAACGAAGTGGTGAGATCCAGAATGCATAAATGTTAAATAAGGAACTCTAAAAACCCTCACTAAATGGAATTAAAATAAAAACATAAAAGTAAGCATTCACTATAGGAGAAAAAAAATCACATAAGGCAAGTGTTTTTGTTAAAAGATAAAATTTATTTGAGTCACTGCTATACAGATTTTTAAAAAATTTTTTTAAAGATTTTATTTATTTGACAGAGATCACAAGTAGGCAGAGAGACAGGCAGAGAGAGAGCGAGGAGGAAGCAGGCTCCCTGCTGAGCAGACAGCCCAATGTGGGGCTCGATCCCAGGACCCTGGGATCATGTCCTGAGCCAAAGACAGAGGCTTTAGCCCACTGAGCCACCCAGGTGCCCCTGCTATCCAGATTTTCAAGGAAACCAAAGCCCTGATAGAACTGCCAAAGAAATCTCCAAAGCCTGCATCTGTACACCAAAACTGTACAATTAAAACTTGACTCTCATAATGGAAAAAAAATTGTGCAAATTATAATTACTGATTAGGGAAAAGGCAAAGTATATATTGTGAGGGAAAAAAAACCCATCAAACCAAGTGGAAATGAAAGAGAAATATTCAGCCATATGAGAGCAAGATGCTATGATTAAAATAAAATTAGACTTCTCAACGAAAGTATTTCATAACAACATGAAATATTCTCTACTTGGCTTAAATAATTAAAACCATACTACAACCAGAAGTGTGTGATAACAGTAAGTATACTGATTGCATAAGAAGAGTGGCGATAGGAGGACAGCTCTTTCTAGTGCCTTCCTTAAAATGGCGTTACTTTTGGAGTTAAGGGTTTATAGCTATAGCCTGATGTCAGGCATATTGTGGGTGAGGCTTCAGAAAGTCCTTGAAGAGCATGTGGCGGTAAAACTGGGCTCCCATCTTTACTGTCAAGTGAACGTTCTTCATTCTGCTTGAGAATAACTGCATATGGGAAATTATAGCTTATGAAGTCATTTCACTGATGCTGAGGTCATACGCCTAGACTTGCTGAGATGAAAATGGTTTCTTCCCAACCAATGTTCCAAATAAGAAGGCACACTGAAATAGAGAGTTTCTGTTCAGGAGGCAGCACGAAGGGCAGGGGTGTAACTCAAAGTTTAAATAATGACAGTGTTCACCTTCTCCATGTACTAACTCTTTAAGTGCCATAACCAGTAGAGCATTAAGCCTCTTAGAAGATATATTTTTTAAAGAGGCCCCTTTCTTCAGATACATGATCTGAAGCAAATAATAAAGTTTATATTGATAAATAGAATAATAAATGAGGGAGAAATCGAAGCAAGAGTTGCATTCTTACTCATGCATTCATTCAACAAATATTTAAGTACTAGCGTTATTTTGGTCGCCCCTGTGGTTTGGGTTTAGACATCACTCTGGCCTGGTCTCCCCTGTTCTCTTTTGTTTTTCTATAACTCCCTAGCACCAGGCAATCTTTTCTTCCTCAGTAACCACAGCAGTTTTTCTGTATCTTGTTTGTGGTAATTATTCTTACACTATGACATGTAGTATCTATTTTTTTTTTCTGTACTAAAATAAGTTCCAGGAGGACAGAGGTGGTATCTTTATACTTTATAGACTATGTAAGAGAAAGCAGTTTGAAGACAGATTTAAGCTTGAATTCAAACCTTTGCCTATTAATGATTCTGAGACTGTGGCCAATAGGTTAGCTTTGGTTTTCTCATCTTGATATTATATGCTCACCTTGGGCTAATACCTTTCACTGCGGTAATGAGGGCCGACGCAAGGCAGGAGGGAGGCTCAGCACAATGCCTGGGCATGGCAGACCTCCAAGTGCTCACCCCCACTCCTCCTGGGGACGTCAGGGGACCCTTCATGTTGTCGGTCCTGTTTTCTATACTCATCATTCAGTCTTCAGCCCCCATGGTGACTCTTTAGTGCCATCTCCTTTCTCCTTAAGTCCCTACCATCTCCTTTCCCAATCTTCCTTTCGGGTGACTGTTTTGCTTTCTAGACACTGAGAAAACAGGGTCGTCAGAAGAGAACCTTCCTCACATGCATTTGCCATCACGCTGCCCCCTGCCTTTGTCTATGCCTGCATCTTCTACCTTCTCTCCTGTTAGGGAGGCCACACTCTGCCCCCACAGCTGGAGCATTTGATCCCCTCCCTTCTTGCTTACCCAGATGTTGCTCCAGCAATTCTTCCTTTTCCTTCCTGTCATCATTCCTCATTTCCTAGTAGATCATTCTCATCAGTGTATGGAAATGGGGGCCTGACTGCTGATTCTCCATTTCTAATGGATAGTTCTTTTGACCTTACTTGTTGGTCTTGCCATCTGTTCCCTTTTCCATGTCTCTTTGTAGAAAACCTCCTTGAAAGAGGAGTCTGTAGTTGAGATCTCCAATTTATCTCCTTTCATTCTCTCTTAAGCTGACTTCAATCAGGAGTTTGCCTCCTTACCCTTCACTGGAATCATTCTTGTCAAGTTCACCAACAAATCCTGAGCTGCTAAACACAGTGGTCAGTATTCACTACTGCTCTTGGCCCGTCAGCAGCATTTGACAGAGTTGATCACTCCCACCTCCTTAAACGTCATCCTTCACATGACTTCTACCATACCATGCTCTTGGGTGCTTCCCCTATGTCAGAGGCTGCTTCTTCACCCCTTGGTTGGTTCCTTCTCATATTCCATGTCTTCTGATGTGGAAGGACCCAAGGCCTGGCACATGGACCTTTTCCCTAGTCCTTCTCATCCCCTTGTTCATCTTATTTGATCTCATTATTACATGCATCCATATGCTGACAAAGCCCATATCTATGTCCTAAAACCCATTCTCTGAAACAGACTTATTGAAACAGACTTATACACCCAACTGCCTTCTTGATACTTCTCTTTGGATAGCTATTAGATATCTCATTTCTAACATCTCCAAAGTGAAACTTCTGCTTTTTTCTCCCTAGTCTTGCCTTTTCACATTGTCAGTCATCATAATTAATCATGATTCCATTCTTCCGGTCAGCAGACCAAAAAACCCTACCATCATTACTGCTTCCTGCCTTATGACTGTTAGCAAACCTCCTGTCACTATCTTAAAGATACATGCAGAAGCTGACCTCTTCTCATCAGCCTACTTGTGGCTACTCACAACTTCTTACCTAGATTATTGTGATCAAGTCTGCATTGGCTCCTGAGGTTCCACCTTTGGTTTCCTACGCTCAGTTCTTCACACAGCAGTTAAGGTGATCATTCTCCTCTCTGCCTAAAACCATCCTTTGCTTTCCATCTCAGAATACACACCAAGGTCATTATAATGACCTAGCATACTCTATATGATGAACCTTGTTCTCCTCCTCCCTTTACCTCTCTGCCTTTATCCCTGCCCCTCTCTCCCTTGGTCAGTCCATACTAGGCCACACTGGTCTCCTTGCTGTGCCTCCAACACACCAGGTGCACACCACCTTATGGTCTCTGCACCTGCTGTTCTTTCTGGAATGTTCTTCCACTACCAGTAATAAGGCTAACTCCTTCCTTCATCCTAGTCTTTGCTGAAATGCCATTTTCTTAGTGAGAGCTTCTCTTCCAACTTCTCTAGCTCCTTCGCCTGCTTTATTTCTCTTCAAAACACATATCATCTTTTAAATTTTATTCTTAATTGTTATGATAGGTATTTAGTATTTGTTGAATGGATGAATGAATTAAAAAAAACAGGGACATTAATTGATAATATGAAGTAGATAAGTTAATAATCTCTGTGCATGATTACTAAAGATGTGTGGAACTGAACCATACATATTTAGCACTATGAAAATTAGTAAATATAAATTGGAGACATTTTGACATAAAAATGAATAAAAATACTTCAATTTCATTAGATACCAGTTTGTCTTCTGATTAGCTTGCTGGGTTGTATGGATCAATAGAATATACTTCCCGTGTTTCTAAATGAAGATCTCCTTCTTTAGGGATTTGATTTGTATAATAATTGCTAGATGGAAAAAGGAAAAAAGTAAATTCTTTACTCATTGGCCATGATCACTACAAATAGGTCACAGTTATTTGTTTTCCATAATTCCTATCACATGATAATTAAATACTTTTCATGAATGATTCATTTTGTTATCTTAAGTATCATAGAAGATAATTACTATATCCCCTATTATTTGGAAAGGCCCATAAAAATAATTTACTAGGATGCGAACTGTCCAAGTCAGAAGCTGATACTAGGCAGCTTTACCTCAGATCCAAGACCTTCAGGGACTTAGAACCATGAGCCTCAGCTTGAAAAATAAATAAAAAAGAAGCTTTTATTTTAGGATAGGACTACAAACTTACCTTTTGGGGGACATAGTCTTCCAATCTGATTTAAAGGGAAGTTTTTATATTTGATGTTGAATTCAGAATCCTTACATAGATTGATAGCACTAAAAGCTTGAAATAATTTTTAAGAGGACAATTTTACTTTTACTCCTTGAAAGCCCACATGCTTTACTGTGCTTCTAAAACCACTTAGCCATAATGAGCAAGAGAAAATAAAATGCGATTCACTATCATGTAGAACTCTGAAATAAGGTATTACAAAATTACTGAAGAAGAAAGATTTCTGCTAAGGGTACTTTAGAATATGTTGTTCATATATATTTAAGAGGTCAGCTTAGAGGTAGGTTATAAGCGATGTATGTTAAGCATGGTGTCTCCCAAATGTTTGGGTGGCTTTTAAACATATCTTGTTACTTAGACAAATTTCTCAGTGACTCTCATCTCATTTATAGAGAGTATTTAAGGCAGCTCAAGTATCTATATCAACTATCAGAAAACAAATTGAAGTCAGTTACAAACTGGAAAGAAAATGAGTTAAGTAAAGCTTAAGAATATACCTTAACATACATGTTTAGTTTGTATCAATGGAGGCAACTAAATATAGTACTTGATATAATCATATTTGTAAACATAATAATCTGCCCAGAACATCAAATTATTTGAGCTCATAGGCATTCCTAAAGTTTGCCAGTTTTCCTACATATGTTAGCCTTTGATAACAAACTTAGTAGCATAAAGGAAAGAGATAGAGACCACATTTTCTATTTATTTAAATTTTTAGTAACTTAGCTAAAGTATCTTCTGACTTCCTGTGAGGAAACCCATGTAAATGGCATCCTTTTTTTCTTAAGACCCTCTTCTTCCTTGAATTGTATGAAAATCCTCCTTCCTAATTCTCCTCCGACCTCTGACTATTCCTTCCCTCTCCCCCCTTTTAAGCATTACTGTCGTTCTGAGACCTGTTCTCATCCCTATTCTTACCTTTCTTGTTTTTCTTGGTCCCGAGGCTTCAAATGTGAGTTAAATATTGCCTACCTGAGTCCAGGCCCCCCTCCTGAGTCCTACATCGTGGGTGCCCCAAAGTAAGAGGGCAGAACTGAACTCCTCTTTCTCTACAAAACTGTCCCTCTCCTCTTTTTGGTGTACCACTGGCTCCACTCGACACAAGTCACTCCACTCTTAATAGGGACGACACCTCTTGATCCCCATCACTGCTGCTTTGTTGAAAGCGCAGTCCTGCCCCTCCTGTTGAAAATGCCTACCTGGACATATTATTACTTTGTTTAAGATCCTACAGGATAAACACCAACTCCTTGTCATGGCATACAAGGTTTTTGATGATCTAGCTCCTGCCCATCTTTCTAGATTCCCCAGTGACTGTTAAATGAAACATTAGTTCCATGGGATGTGAATGCATTATAGGAGAAAAAGAGTTCTGTGGTACAATTAGCTTGGGGAACTCTGGTTTAAAAATAAAACCAAACAGCTTTTTTTTTAATTGTAGGACTTTAAATATACTCTTGGTCACTGTGAATCTTCATGAGAAAAATACTGCATGTAGTACTTCTCAATCTTATTTGCTCATAGAACACCCTTTTTTCCTGAAGTCTTTCACAAAACAAGGGTTATATGGTACATCACAAAACATCCTTTTGTTAACACTACAGTCTAAAGTATATCACAAGTGTAGACCCTTCTAAGACCATTGGATTATAAGAACTACATAAGCAATCTGATGTAACTGTGATGGCCCCTGTGAATTGAGGCACCCCGGTCTGGCAGGCTTAGAACAAACTCCTCAGGTTCACAGGTGACATCATTACATAGTTCCAAAGTAACCCCTTCCTGTCTAATGTCTACACCAGGTGTTTTACAACCGTGAACAATGTGCCAGATGGCACTGATGGCACAAGCCAGATGACCTGGCATGTTAAAGTAATTTTGCTGGCATTTATGGGTGACATGTTTGGCGTGACATGACTTGGTCACCTCCCACTGGAAGTTACCTGAGACTTGGTAAAACTTCACCTAATCATCTCCCTAACACTAGCTTGTATAGAGAGATTCAAGAACCTATGCATACAGAACATTCCCAGGTTGATTCCTGATGGTCTCCATTTGCTAAAATGGCATCCTTTGCACTTATCAGAATGTTCTGACACAGGATTTATGGGTTGGAAGGGTCTTTTATGCCATCCCTACACCCAAATCTATACCACCCTCTCCTACAGTCACCATCACATACAGTTACATCAAATTGCTTACATAGTTCCTATAATAGCTGATGGAAGGACAAGCCTTTGGGTCTTCACTAAAACTGCTCCTTCCACTTGGAATACTTTTTCTCCTTGTCCACAGCATCTTGAAGCTTGCTTGAGACATTTCCTTCACTATAGAATTTTTTTTTCTCATCAAAATTCCCCATTACTTGAGCACTTGCTTTGTGTACCCACCAAATACCACATGACCTACTATGGCAATATTACTTTGTAGATTAAAATGTTTAAAAAATTAATGTTTGGGGCACCTGGGTGGCTCAGTCTTTAAGTGTCTGCCTTTGGCTTGGGTCATGATCCCGAGGTCCTGGGATCGAGCCCCATGTCAGGGTTCTTGCTCAGTGAGGAGCCTGTGTCTCCCTCTTCCTCTGCCCCTCCCCTGCTTGTGAGGTGTGTGTGTGTGTGAAATAAATAAATAATTTTAAAAATCAATGTTAAAAATAGAAATTTATATCTTATTTCTGCATAATAAAACACAATATAACAAGTATATTACTAGGTTTCTATGCTTTAAGTAGTCATGAAAACAACAACCAAGTGAGAGAAAAGATTATTTCAAGAAATAGAAAGGCCTCAGATGTTTCTGAATGGAACACATTACAGAAAAGAGGTCAGTTTCTCACAGACTAATCTATAGACTTAAATGCAATCACAACATATGTTTTTTGGAAATGCCAAATGATTTAAAAATCACCTGGTTAGAACAAACAGAAGAGAATAGAAAGAAAAATCCTAAACAATTATAGCAAAGGAATTCTTGACCTACTATATATTATGACTGTATAAAGATATATTAATTGAACACAAAGTAATTTGTGATGAAAGGACAAATCAGTACAGCAGGAAAAGAAGTCCAGAAACACAACATATCAAAATATATTGATTATTTGACATATGGTCAAAATAGGACAAACCTTTCAGAAAGTCATTTGGCAATATTGATTAGGCTTCTTAAATGTTCATACTCTTACCCTTAGTAATTCTAGAAATGTATGGTACAGAAATAAGTAGATGTAGAAAAAAGTTTATTCAAAGGTGTTTCTTGTACCTTTATTATCAAAATAAATGCGGAAGCAACCCATAATTTTCATGATACAGAAATACATAGAACAATATACTATTATATAACTAAAACAAAAACATAAAGATACAAGAGATGAAGCCAAATTTAAAAAAAATTAAAGCAGGGGACTGTCATTTCAAAATTCCAGTCAAAAAGAGAAAAAGATAAAGAATATTTAAGATCAGATAAGAATATGCCAAAACACTTGCAGTTGTTACCACTGGGATTTTTAAATTTTCAATTTTCTAGATTTTTTAAATATATGTCATCTGAATAAACATCATTCAAATAAAATAAGTGCTTAATATTTTTAAAGTTCTCACAGAGGGGGCTTCCTTCTATATGGCACAAGACTTCTTACTCCACACTATAACATTCATGTCCTATGACTTGTACTTCTGAGTTTAGTTTCAGGCAAGAAACCAAACCTTTTGTGCCCTTTGGTCAAGCATGCATTGAACTTACCGTTCTCTGTGTTTTAATATTGTGCATAAGGTGACACCAATCAAGAATACAAGAAGTACTGAACCTGCAGAAAGACCTAGAAATCAAAACAGCAAGAATCAAATGCCAGAAAATTGTGACCTATATTCCTTTGAAGTGACTGTGGGGCTATTCCCAATGGTGGGGAAATTGTTATGGGACTTTATCCTTATCCTTCATTAGCCATATAAATGTTACATTCCTAAATAATCATACTTGGGCTTAAGTTTTTTCTGATTCAGTCCAGTCCACATTTAATCTAAAGCACCAAGCATTTGATCACAGGGGCTGCAGTCAAGTTTCTCTTGAGCTTTTCTTTCCCTTTCAGTTTTATTAATAATATTCTCATTACTGGGGTGATATTAGGAGCTCAGGACACAAGGATCCCATGACTTGGCATAACAACATTTAACTCTCAGTTGGAAAATATATTTTGTTGTTGCAGAATAAGAGAGCTTATTTGATAGTACCAAATCATGCAAAAGACCAAAAGTTAACATAAACTCAACTTTCAATTGAAAAACTGGAAGTAGGTGGCTTTTTAAATAATTTATTCAACTCTATCCAAAAGTGTCTGTTTGTAATATAAAGAGAGCCTTATATATAAATATTAAAAGAGCCTTCATATTAAAAGAACCTTAAGATAACAAAATGATAATTTCCTAGGAGTTAAAGTGAAAAAGAAAAATAAGAGACAGGATATAGGGCCTCAAGTTTGATATATATATTTTTTATAAAGCATCATTAGAAAATTAATTCAAATATTTAAGAAAACTTACCACTAAGAAGAGGAGCAAGTGAGGCTAAGGAGAACACAAAATCACAAAAATATTAGTCTAGTTGCATACTTCAGTGCAGCCCAAAGTCCCACGGTAATATCCCTAAAGACAACACTCAGCTTCTTTCTCTCAGAATCTCCTTAAAAAGATGTACTGAGGCCCTGGATTGCATGCACTCTTCCTTCATTTTATTATGTAACAATTCACTGGACATTTAAAAAAATAACACTGTTAAGTTGGGGTAGTTCAGGAATGAAAAAAGCCAATACACTCAACTTTACAAATCAGAGATTTCTCAGGTTAGAATGCAAGTAGTAACTGTTACAACAGGTTGCTCACCATATTTTTGGGGGGTCCCTGTCAAATTGGTAAGTACTTATAAATAATCAAGTTTCAGCAATGGAAATCTCAGCAATGACTCCCTTCAAAATGTAAGATTAATAGCTCGATACCTTGTAAGTTAGTACTCCTCTCTATTTTCTTTTTTATACTTCCCCCATCCTCAGAAAGTTTTGCTTTTTCTAGAATAAACCACTAACTTCAAATGCGTCCATTCCTGTAGCACTGGTCACAGACCCACATCAGGTTAAAACCTAACATTGACAGATACTCCTAGCTCTCTCCTCCCCAGGGAGACAAGTATGAGCAGGGAAGACTTCTGCAGTTACCTGGTGATTTGCAGACAGCCAGGGGCGGGTTCCATCCCTGATCGTCCTGACACTGGCTCTGGGGACTGCCTTCCAGGGTATATCCCTCTTCACACTCCAAAGTGACGACTGCACCATACTGATACATTTTCCCAGGCTCCAGACCCTTCTGGATTCCATTCATATACTCTGGGGAGCTACAGTTTACCTCTGAAGTGAAAGAAAGCAAATTGAAGCTGGGCCATATTTTAGCCTTTTCTCAAGGAAGTAAATACTTCCCTGAATGGAAAGGTTTAGGAAACCAATTTGGTTCATTCTCAGTAAGGAAAGCCTCGCTGTGATAACACAAAAGGACATTCTAGGCAGGTTCCTTCTGTGACAACCATCCATCTCAATTACCTCTAGGTAATTTAAGCCAGATTTCCTTCTCTGTGCTTTAGTTTCTAAACTAACAGTGTTGGATAATTTTAACAGCCTCTTAGAGAGTGGGTTATATTAAGAATTCTGAATGACTGTCTCATCTGCTCTACTATAACTGTCCATAGGTGAACGTACTTCCTCATTTATTTCTTTCATCTCGAAGCACAGGGGACAATAGTGGGAGGTTTTAGATTTGAATCATGACTCTAGGACTTCTCCCACTGTGTGACTTCGGGTAGGTTACAGATCTCTCTGTTCTACAGAGCCCTTATCTGTCATATAGGAATAATAACGGCACCAACTTCATCTGGTTCTCAAGAAGATTAATGAGACAATGCATGTAAAATATGTACCGTTTCTGGCTTTTGGTAAAAAGTGCCTGATGAATATTGGATATTAACTCACTACCCCTATTTCATATGCACTATGTTAAAGAAAATGAAATTCTGAAGCCTTTATTAAAAAGTACCCATAATTCCACCACCACTTAGAAGGAATACACTGACAAGATCATTGTGCTTTTTGTCAGTATTTGTCAAATGCACACTTATTGTAACTACAACCACAGGTAAATTCAACCTGCATTTTAGTTGTTTAATTTGTATAAGTACTTCATTTTTCTATATTTAAAGGGCTATATAAGTGATCACTCCTCAGATAAGCTACACCCTAAGTCATTTTTTCTTATTTTGTGGTAGGCTAATTAATATATTCATCTAATTGAATCAATCCAATTAAATGCATTTAATTAAATGATCCAATTAGTACATTTATTTGGCTATTTTAAGTTGAAAGTACCTAACTCAGTATCTGTTTGGGAGAAATTCACTTTAAAAACAGGAGAATAATAGACACCACACCTTTACAATAAGGGGCAGATTGGCTCCAGGTTCCCTCATGTGTGCAAAGAAGGAGTGCCTCTCCCACAAGCAGGTAGCCTTGGTCACAGCTGTACAGGACTGACATTCCAGGAGAGAATCGAGCTATATCTCCACCAGTATGATTTCCATTGGGTATCTTAAGCGGAGGTTGACATCCTAAGAAAGCTTAGACATCAATAAAAAAGGATCTTTAATTTAGCACAGAGGAACATATAACCAACACTGTCTGTGGGTGATAGCAATACTGAAAGAAGGTAGGAAACAAGCTAACTAATTGGTATCCAGAAATATTCATTCCACCTAAACCAAGGAGCACTGGACAGAAATTTGCATTGCCTCCATATTTCGTATGGGAGCTGAAAAACAATGCCAAAAGTAACATAATGAAACGTCAATGGTCGTGGCCCACGATTGTAATCTATCAGCTAATAGTATTTTTTTCTTTTCTCTTTAGATAACAAAGAGGCTATAGTTTAAGGGTCTCACACTCCAATGCCTTCAGGAACCAGAAAGTGAAGCCCCCAGATATGACAACTCAGAGAGCATCCATCCTAAAAATGGCTGCCATTGCCTGGTTCAAGATATAGGTGTCTTGCAGGAAAACAAAGGGGGTCCCTCGCTGTATTACATATTCATTGCTCATCTTGGGCTATGCAGATTCACTTCAGATGGGTTTAACTTAGGATGAGATGGGTTTGACTTAGGATGAGACTACTGCGCTAGCCAAAGGAAGCCATTCTGGTAAGCTGAATTCAGTTCTTGGGGCACAAACTGGCATCCTCTGTTATAGATAGTTACTGACAGGAATAAAACTGCCATATGATAAGTAAAATGACAAAGACAAATTGATGGGTTTGAAGGCCAACATTCCCCTCCGAAAACCCAAAGTTCTCTTTTTGACTGGTTTCACAGCCTTAAATATCCACATTATTGCCAAACACTTGCCCTCCCAAAGTATGTGTTTTTTTTTACTTCTAAATTAGTAAAAAGAATAAATATTAGAGACTCCATAAATTTGGAAGTTAACCATTATCTTCTCAAGTACTTTTGCTTAACACACCTAGAAAGGGAAAGGGAAAAAAAATCAGATGAGTGGACAATGAAGGTATCTTATAAAACAATGTGATTGCCTTTTACATGTTTTCTGTAGTTTGAATGGTCAATGCAGATTCAAAGCCCTTTTTCTTCATTCTGGGCAACACCCCATATTTTATTCCTTAGAGTATCTTACCTTTTTTTTTTTTTAAAGATTTATTTATTTATTTGACAGAGAGAGGGAGAGAGCACAAGCAGGGGGAGTGGCAGGCAGAGGGAGAAGGAGAATCAGGCTCCCCGCAGAGCAGGAGAAGCCCAATGTGGGACTTGAACCCAGGACCCTGGGATCATGACCTGAGCCGAAGGCAGTTGCTTAACCAACTGAGCCACCCAGGTGCCCTATCTTACCCTTTTTGATACAAGTTGGTACACCTGGCACCCATTTGTTATTGGTATGACATTTAATCACGTGACTGCCGTTCATGATGAAGCCAGGATTGCAGGCGACATATATTGTATCATTGTGGGAATATGAAGAACGAGTTTTGTTGAGCTGGTACCCATGTTTGACTTCTGGGCTAGGGCAGTGAATTACAGGAGGAGATTTTAAGCACTTTGGGAGAGGTTCAGTCCAAGATCCATGTCCATTAGAATCACTTATGCATCGTATATTTTTCTCTCCCAGAAGAGAGAATCCTTGGTCACATTCATAAGAGACTTCATTTCCATATAGAAAGGGTTCTGCCATCACGCCCCTGGGCCTTCCATTGTCAATCGTGGGTGGAGGCGGACAGTGAATTACTGCAGAAGAGATTTTAGGAAATTCTGCTTCAGCTAGCACACCAAGGTGGACAGTCTTCAGTCAGGCACAAAAGAAACTAGGCAACTGCACGTACTACACGTAACCATACAATAATTTAGATTTTTTGAACCCAGATGATGCTTCCTTTAAAACAGTGTTATTAAATTCTCTATGCAAGTAATACATACTCATTTCAAACAAATTCAGAAAACAAAGTATTAAGAAAGGAATAAATATAGCTATGTTCCCATAAACTAGAAATATAGGCCATATATGTAATTTTTTTTCTTAAATCTTGAGCAGATGTACGGCAAATACTCAGTTCCTATTTGGCCACTTTTTTTCCCCAATGCAAGTGCTGACCAAACACAGAAAGATTTTTCTTATCTTATGTACAATGAAATAGAACACATACACTATTGAGGTAGTTATAAGGCTAGTTCTTCAGCGATCTTCCCTCTCTAACTCCCTACAGTCCCACCAACAATTTTTTTCTAACTTACCTTTACAAAGTGGAGTCTTTTGGAACCAAACCCTATTCTCAGCATCTTGACACTTCTGATAAGTATGTCCAGTCAACCGGTACCTAGAGAGAGATTATAATGCATTTCTTCTTCCCAGCATCACATCTCTGTAACCTAGCTTCCTCAAACCACAGATACAGGGGCTCTTCTAAATAAGAGCTTTGGCAGAGAAGAGCTAAAACTCTTGGTCCTTCAAGCAAGAAGACTACTTTAGACACTGAGTTTTCCACAGCAAAGCCATTTCCACATCAAGAAAGGACTGAAGAGAGAGATGTTAGACCTTTGGAACCCCACATTCTCTGTGAGTGTGATAATGAGGGTTGTCTAGAGGGAGTCACCAAGACAACTTGAGGACAGAATTAATGCACAAAATGAGGTGGAGATCCCTTTTCAGAATGGACCATCTCATACTCACCCATCTTGACAGGATGTATTAACTGGTATCACATGTGAATGAATGGGAAGCTCTTGAAAATCTTCTCCCACAGGTTGACATGGTGCTTCTAGAAGAGCAAAGTTTGAATTATTTATGCATGCCTGATATCACATAGAAAAACAACTCTGCAACTGAAAGTACCTTCACACCGAGGGGGAGAAGGACTCCAATTTCCTGAAGGCATACAGTGAATGGATTTGTTTCCCACAAGCAAGTAGCCAGGGTCACAGGTGTAGTCTACAGCCATCCCAGAGACAAAGAGGACCCTATTTCCACCTGTATGCTGACCATGATGGAGCCCAACAGGTGGCTGGCAGCCTGAAGAGAAAACTCCCCACGTAAATACCAACAACAGCAACAAAAGGAATTTATACTCAAGAACATTAAGTATACAACATCTGACAGCAGGCAATCTGCAACTTTTAAACCAAAGTTTATGAAGCTCTAATTACCAAATGTTTTCTGCTCTTTTGCAGGAACCAGGCACCTTTAAAAAGGTCCTCTCGAAAACCAAGAAACAGACTCTTAACTATAGAGAACAAACTGATGGTTGCCAGGGGAGAGGTGGGTGGGGGATGGGTGAAATACATGATGGGGATTAAGAAGGGCATTTGTGATGAGCACTGGGTGTCGTATGGAAATTTTGAGTCACTAATATTACACTATATGTTAACTAACTGGAATTTAAATAAAAACTTGAAATAATAAAAAAAGAAAAGGTCCTCTCATTATCTACCCTGAATAGATCCCTGATCAAGGGGGCATTAACATGAAAAACATATAAAAACCACATAGGACATTTGATCACAGAATGGAAGAAATGGGATAGTAATCTGTACCTTTGCCTTTTTCTATGACTCTAGTTTTGGGATGGAGCTAATAAATAAGAATAAAGGAGTAAATACCTAATTTTCCCCCTTGGGTCTTTACCTTTTTCACAAACGGGTATTTCAGGATCCCAGGTGCTATCAGCTTTGCAACGAATCTGACTGCTGCCCTTCAAAGTAAATCCATGATGACACTTGAATGTCACACTGTCATTATAGAAGTATGGGGCTTCCTTCCCAGATGTCTTGTATCCATTTTCCACCTGGGCAGGTACACACTGAACAGCAGGGAGGGAAAGTTTGCAGACAGGGGCAGGGCCACTCCAGATGCCCCTCTCTTGGTCATTGCTTGTACAATGGATGGTACTCTTCCCAATGAGGTTGAATTCCACTCCGCTCTCTGGCCCAGGGTTGCATGTGTAGGTGACTGTGGTTCCGTATGGAACATATTCTGAGGAACTCCCTGTGTGTGTCCCATCAGAGATGGCAGGAGGTGGTGGGCAGGTGATTTCTGGAGAGATGAGAATTTACTGTAGAATTCTGCTCCAGTATTACACACCAAAGAGAAGAGACAGAGACATCAAAGAAGAGAAATGGAGACACCAAAGAAGAGAAATGGAGACACCAAAGAAGAGAAATGGAGACACCAAAGAAGAGAAATGAAGCTGGTTACGAACCTGTAGTTATCAGGTTTCCCGGAGGATATGGATGAGTTTTGATGATAGAAGTTACATCAAAGCTCATTATGTATATAAAACTTGATTTAAACAGACATCATAGCAAAGATTTTTATAATGGAAATCTTTGTTACAAGTGAACACATGCCCGGCGATGAGTATGAAGGAGGGCATAGACTGCATGGAGCACTGCGTGTTGTACGCAAACAATGAATCATGGAACACTACATCAAAAACTAATGACATACTGTATGGTGACTAACGTAGCACAATAAAAAATGAATAAATAAAAAATAAAGTGAAAAACCAAGTAGATAATAATTTCAAAAAAAAAAGTTAACATGTTCATCAGTATCATATTGTGAGGCAGTGAAGTCCAGTAGTAAATTGGTAATAAAAATCATTGTTTTTAAAAGAACCAATAAGTGAATAAAAGGCCTGGGGGGGTGGTAGAAGTAAGCTTTTCTGAGTACAGTCTTTGTGCTGAAGTGATATGATAGGTTAGCCAAGAATCACTGTCAATTGAGCATCTACGTTTGACAGGTAATTTTCTCATCTACGAAGGGGGGATAGTACCATTTAATTTTAATAACATTGACGTCTCGAGTTTCAGTTTAACTTTCCAGATAAGAGGCTGGAATTTCCAAGAAGTTACCTAAATTGCCCCAGCTCAAATTAAGCAATAGAAACCGAATCTGAGTTCAGATCCCACACTAATCCTCTCTCTCTCCACTAAACTACAGCATTCCCCCAATTAAGGATAGTGGCTCATATACTCACTGTCCTCATTATTCTTAAACTCCCAAATCACAAAAGAGAATCGGAAATACATTTAAATTGATTGGCATGCTACGAAGTAGAAAGCGGTGACAGCAGAAAGACAACAAAACCATGTGACTAGAACTGTTGACAAAGTTAATCGAACAGAATCTAATCTTCGTATTCCCATAGCACGGCCTCAAACAGAAATCTCCCAGGAAATGTGTACGTTTCACACTGTGTCAGGTTCTCCATCACTTTTGCTGCTCACCTTCACATAGACGATTCTCCATAAACCAAGGAATCACACCTTGGCACTTCTGATAAACACTCCCACCTAACCGGTACCTGGAGACAAAGAGTCATGTCATTTTGCCATCTGGAGACTATTAAAAGCAGACTCACCACTTTTAGGACAAGAAAAAATAGGGACAAATATGTAGCCAGTATCAGCATCACCCATCCATTGCACAGGCAGCGTTTCCATACACGCAACCATAGCACAATCAACCCTTCTGGGAATAAGTGACAAGGAAGGCTCTTTGAGATAAATGAAGACAACAGAGCTTGTAGTGTGCACTAATAAGCCAGACCTGGTTCAGGCTGAGACAGCCCTCACTCACCCTTCGTCGCAAGAAGAGTTAACATCTGGTCTAATAAATTGATCCTGGGGTTTGTTAAAGACTTGCTCTTCTATAGGTTCACACTCTGCCACTAAGAAAAGAGACCTGGATGAGAAATCAGCTCAACGCAAACTCAAAACCATAAAATGTCTACATTCAAAGCCTGGCACCTTTGCATTGGGGGGCAGTGGGTGTCCACACCCCCTCAGAGGTGCAACGGATGGATTCTTTTCCCACGAGAACATAGCCAGGGTCACAGCTGTACTTTATAGATGTTCCTGGGTCAAAGCGGACCATGTGTCCATCTTCCTTCTGCCCATTGAGGATTTTAGGAGGGGCTTGGCACTCTGAAGGAAAAGAAAATTTTTCTTATATAAACAACAGAAAGAAACAAGCAATTATCATTAATGTGTAGCTCAGTTTTGGATAATTTTAGATCAGCAGTTCATCTTTTTTTCATTTCTGTACTTAGGGTGCTGAAGACTTTGTTCACTTCTAATTCTTCTCCTGTCTCCTCTTCTTCTTCCTTACTCCTTCCTTCTTCCTTCCTCCTTCCTTCCTCCTTCCTCCCTCCTTCCTCCCTCCTTCCTCCCTCCTTCCTCCCT